GTTGATCAGTGGCAAGCAATGAATGCCTTCGGCTCAGGTCCATGGCGGTTCGATGGCTGATGGCAGATCACCGAAGCTGGCGACGACCTAGCGGTGGGAACTCGATATGTTGAGAACCGGCAGCGGAGGCCCGAGCAACGACGGAGTTCGACCAAGGCGACGGGATGAGATAAACGGTGACCCTGCTTTCAAGTGGCAGTGGCTCACTTGGCTCGTCGAAAAGCGACAACGACCAGTGGCAGTGATCTGTCGAACACCTTAAAGAAGAGTGGTTGCAGTTGTGGGCTCATCTAGGGAATGGTCATTGGCGCAGACTTAGTGACTCGACGACAGCCCTACTCGGCGGTATGCGGATAGTTTCGATTGTATTTGATAGTTCCGATCAGATAGTTCTGCATAATCCTGTGAGATTACATTTTTTTTTTTTTGCTCAACCAAAATTCGGTTGATACTTGATTTATAACATGTGAATATTTATATAACATATAAGTATATATATACAATTACGTTAACCGAAAAGCATGTGCAGAAGAAGCTTCAATTCAACAAAGGTGGATCTAAAAAATTGCACAAAAAAGGTGGCTATGAAAAGGTCGGTACAAACACTTCCGAGTTCCGACGACGTCGACGAAATCTCCCCGACAAAGAAGCGAACACGGCTGAAAAACTCCAACACTTTTGCAAATTGTTGAAGAAGAAGAATTTCACATGGAAGAGATGGAAACTGAAATATGTGATCACCTGACTGAAAAAATAAAAAACAAGATATATGAATGACAAAACCGACCAAGTCGACACTTATAAGAAAAAGAAGTCAAGGCCTAGCGACGAGCGTCAAAATCCTGTGCAAGACGAGCATTTGAATAATTTCATTATATTTTGTTTTTATAGTCACTATATTTTTAGTATATGTTGTGTTTTGCTTTACATAACATTTATTCAATCATAATTGTGATGTTTTTATTTTGTTTATATTTTCTACTTAATTTTATACCAACAATATATACAATATTGATATATAAAACACCTTATAAGCGCTCTCCAGAATGTAAATATATATATATAGGGAGTGGTTCAAATAAAAACTAGTCCTGGTATGAGAACCGTGAGAACCGTATATGATGCTATTTTTTATTGTGTATGATGTTATTTTTAATATTACACGGTGCTATCATTTTCATATATGCTAATATAAATTGTGTTGCTATTTTTAAGAAAATAGATCCATTTTAAAAATAGCACTAAAACACAATCAATCATAGCACTACTATAAATAGCGGTTCTCACGGTTCCCACGCTAGGACTTAGTTCCCACGCTATATATATACACACATACTAGATTATATTTTTTTTTTCTCAACCAAAATTAGGTTTATACGTTGTTTATAACCTCTAATAATTTATATAATATAAGAGAGGTTATTAGAAGAATTTTCTTTTTTTTCTTAGTAGAAGAAGAAGGAAATAAAAGAGGTTTTATTTGATGGTTGTTAGAATCTTAGAAGTAGACTTATGAAAATAAAATATTGAAAATAGTTCTTATGCTTGTGAACGGTATAAAATTAAGTAGAATATAAAAATAAAAAAAAAATATAAACAAAATTCAATTGTCACAATTGTGCCATGGGGCAAGCCAAGTAATCAAATTTCACAACTAAATAGTATTAAGCATACAGATAAATATACCAGACATAACCTATAAATAAAACATCAACTAAACATTGATACAAATCCGATTGAAACTATCTACATAAGAGGAACTTTTCGTCTTCGAGGTGCTCGTCAAATCACCGCCACCAGTCGTTGATGCTTTTCGACGAGCCAAGTGAACCATTGGCCACTGCCACTCGAAAGTGGGGCCGCCGTTCGTCTCTTCACTCCCCCTTTGACAAACTCCGTCGGTGCTCGACCCTCCGCTGTCGGTGCCCGACAAATCGAGTTCCCACCGTCCAGTCACCGCCAGCCGGTGGTCCGCAATTAGTCGTCGGAAAAGTATATCTTAACAAAAATAGCTTCTGGTCCACCTTTACAATCTACTTGTCCTTTGGGTTGGCATGTTTCAGTGTAGCAGCTTTTGTGATGTGAGTATTTTATTTTATTGCCATTTTATGTGGAACCAAAATATCATCTCGATGTTGTGTCATGATAATTTTTTTTATCTCATCTCCAGATATCATAAAGAGAAGCCCTTTATTTCAAATCATACGTTTGCTGATTGAAGCTTACTGATGACAACAAGTTAGTTTTACACTATNAAGTCATTTCAATTAAGAATATTAACAACACTATCATTGTAGCTTTACAAACTATTAGTAAATTGCGATTATTTAAAAATAAATCTATGTATATATAATTGCTAGCAAGCTTCAATAAATTTTATTCAGTCAGCAATTAATAAAAATAGGACTTCATTTAATAAGAATCTTTATGACCATAAATTTTATTCAGTCAGCAATAATAATCTAATAAATAGGACTTCATTTAATAATATATATATATATATATATATATATATATAATTGTTGGCAAGCTTCAATAAATTTTATTCAACCAACAATTAATAATAATATGGGTTTATTTAATAAAAATATGTGTTCATTTAATAAAAATATGTTCATTATTTAATAATAATATATAACTTTCAGTTACACAATTTATTTTGACAGGTCCCATTTTGGATGGTACCCATTTCTATAACGCTTTTTTATGTCCTCAAATACAAAATATTTTTGTTTTTATTTTAATACTATATATTTTTTGGTATTATATAAATACATATTTCACAACTAATTAAATGACTATATATCTCTATTTTCTATTGCAATTATACAATAATAAAAAATATTTTTTTGGATACTACAAAGATACATCAAATATTTTGAAAAATCAAATCGCGGAGTCACGAGTCGAAGAAATTTAACGGTAATGATTCGTTGTGATTGGAATTCTGACGATAGAAAAATCATGAATGTTGTATATAAATGATTGTTTAATAATATTTATATTCACTTCTTTAAATTATTTTTTCTCATTTATTAAGTTATGATTTTTAATTTATATTTTTATTGTTTTTCGTGCAAATGTAGGGTAAAACTAATTTACGATGTATAAGGACCCATTCGATAATATTAAAAGTTGGAAAGTAAATTGCGATTTCCAGTTTTCTTCACAAACGCCTATAGGAATTAGGAAACGATGAAAAATCCAGTTGGAAAAAATTGAACCCAAATTTGGGGTTTTAAGAAGCCGCTTGGACATTGTCTAAAAAGAAGAAGAAGACCACCTCTTCTTCCCTACTCTGCAACTAAAGGGCAAAACCCCTAAACTTCACTTCTCTGCCCAGTCAATTTGATTAGTTCCAGGTTAGGGCGGAAGGGACGATGGGTCGTCCCGAACCCTGTGTGCTCTACGCACACACATTTGTTCACCCCCACCTCGATGAATATGTCGACGAGGTACTTCTGTCATTTTTTTTTAATCATATATTGTATTTATTGTTTTTTTTAGGTACTTGGCGGCGATTGTGTTCAAGGAATAGTATTTTGTGCTTGTTCTAAATTTTCCCCCCTTCTCTCTGTATTTAAAAGATTTATACTGGGTGCAATGTTTTGGTTGCACTATCGATTTTATTTTCCAGCGTGGTTGTGTTATGCGATTTGTTGGCATAGCCACATAAGCTTTCACCTTATGCAAGAGACAAAACATTGATATACAGTTGATTCTGAATTATGAATTTTGTATCTGGGATTGGGATTCCAACTTAGCGCCTTTTGAGTGAGATTTTGAGAAGAGTTTCTCTTTGGAGAGCAGAATATGATGAAAGTCGTAAGCTATGTTTTGGGGGGTGGGGGGTGTTTGGAGTTCTTGTCTATCTTTGGCCTCTATGGCGGGCATGAGAGTCAGGTGGTTTACCCTGCGGCATATGTCAGCAGTTTGAGTCCGACATTGTATGCTTTATAAAGTTAACATTTTGGAGCAAGTAAGCATTAGTTTGAAGGAAGTGGAGAGAAGTGAATAACAAATGTTATACTACTTCTAGTCATGACCCTGAAATTGTCGGGTTGTATTCACGTGCGATATTTTGTTTTTCAAGGTTTTGGAACTGGTATTATTTATTTTGTCGTCTAATATTGAGCTTTAAATTTTGAAGAGAGTTGTAGTGTTCCATATTAACAGAATGAATGAAAGCAAAACATTGAATAGTTGAAGTATGATACATTGAAAAATTGGCCCATTGAGTGATTGATTGGTGATAAATTTGAGCAATATATGTACAGACAAAGTAAATATTTATACCATGATACATTAATAAATTGTCAATAAATCTTTAAATTAGGAGATTATCAATTGTTTGTAGTTTTCATTTTCTTTGGAGTTGTACAAGTGAAATAAAAAGTTTATGTGAGGAATTAGCCTATATGTTGAAGTAAGGCATGGAGTTTTCACACTTAAAAAAGTTTTTTGTTGGTTTTCCTACAAACTTTAAGTGTGTGCTTGGATATAAGTTTGTGATTGGATATTTGGATTTTGATTGGTTTTTTTGATTAACCATCGGTAATTTTGAGTTAGTTTTGAATTGGATTTTTAGTGTATTTAAATAAATATTTGATATAAAATGATCAAAGTTGATTTGATTTAAAAGTGGGAGAGAGGTGATTGCAAGTGATGAGTAGTTATGAATGGATGAATAGTGAATTGTAGTTGATGTGATGTGTAAGGATGAGTGATTGATATTATTTAATTACATTAATAATATTGAGGATAATGTGGTTGAGTTAAATTTGGGTTAAAAAAAGTGATTGGTGAAAAGTGATTAGAAATTGTTTGGTTTTTTACATTGTACTAAAAGTCGGCCTAGGCGCCGCCCGGTCGCCTCCGATTTGCATGAATCGGCTGAGAAAATCGGCTACGCGGGCTCGGCGGTAATTTTTTAGTTTTCTTTTTAAATACTAGTTACATTATTTGGTTATCTATATAAGTAATCTTATTTGGCTTAGGTGTGTGGATTTATTATAAGTTGAGATAGTGTTATTTTGTGGGTATTGAAAATAAATAAAAAAATTAAGGTATTTAATCTTATTTTTTAGGCCTCGCCTAGACGCTCTAAGCACTAGGCGCTGGTCGAGCGCCTAGCAACTTCTAGAACACTGGTTTTTTATATCCATGCACACCCTAAATAACTAGCGTTGAAGCTTATTTTTTTAGTTGATGGATTCGAACTTCAATTTATCTTGTATTAAACTGGCTGGGCAGAACTCATTCTCAAAAGTTAGCTCTAAGGGAGAAGGAGCCCGTCCCGCACTTACACACTGTAACAGCCCAATAACTTATCAATGTGGGGCGGGCATAAACTTCTCACATCTTGCATATTTACTGGCATTTTCTGACTTCTTTATACTTTATGATTTCTTCTCTCAACATTTTTTACACTCTAGGTGGTATTTTCGGAGCCTGTAGTCATCACAGCCTGTGAGTTCCTTGAGCAGAATGCTTCGTCATTATGTACTGCAGTGAAGCTTGTCGGGTATGGTGAACATACATTTTTTATATTTGGTTTGTTTTTTTCCTTAGAATTGTTTTATCTCCAGAAGGAATATAGTACCATTTATGAGGTTGTGGATAATGAATCATGTTACCTAGTTGGATGCTTTTTGATTGTTATGATTTCATCATTATTTTTATTTTAGCCTTGTTTCAATTCTATCATGTGATTGTTCTATGCAATCTCACTATATTCTTCTCTGTCTTAAGGGGCACTTCACCTCCATCATTTGCTCTGGAAGTTTTTATTCACTGTGAAGGAGAGACGAGATTTAGGCGTTTGTGCTTGCCTTGTTTGTACTCTCATTCATCATCAAATGTGCTTGAGATTGAGGTGTGTACCACACTTCCTATATTTTTATTTCGATAAACTTAAACAAATTCGTTGAACTCTCTAGTATTTGTAGTTCCGTAAGTTACTATGATATTTCTCTCGTGTTTCTGTTTGTTTTCTATGATTGTTATGTATATATATTTCATCTTGTGCTTAAGTTTGATTATTATTCAATATAAAAAAATTATATACACATTTGTTTATCTATTCTATCGCATTTTTATCCTTCTTGTCATATATCACGGCAAACCATATAAAAACTGTAGATACTAAAGCGATATCCATCAACATCATGTCCTCAGAGAGGTTGCTCCTTCAGTCTCATTTAGTTTGATGAAGCAATTTCTCATAGATGTACTTTGATTAAATTCTATGTTATTTTCCCTACTTCAGTAGTTGAAATTGAGTTGAGATGCAGATTTCACACCTCACTAGTGTATTTAGGCTGCAATAAAGGCTTGGCATTATTAGTTGATTTTATTATATTGCCTTTTTCTGAAAAATGCATCATCTTGCAATAGGCTGTGGTTACAAATCATTTGGTTGTGAGAGGCAGCTACCGTAGCCTGAGCATGGTCATATATGGGAACACAGCAGAAGATCTTGGCCAGTTTAACATAGATGTTGATCTAGACAGCTCACTGACTGATACTGTTAGTGCTGTTGAGGGAAACCTGGAAGATCTGCCTCCTGCTTTTCATCCCAATATGTCCACAATAAAGGAACTCATATCGCCCTTGAAGATATTATCTCGACCAGCAGCCATCTTGGATATTCCGTTTGAATTAAGAAGATTCCTGGTGTTAGTTTTTAAAAGTTTGGACTCTCAGAACCTGGGTGAAGCAGCGGATAAAGTTATCAGCTCATTGTTATTGGTGGCCTCAAGGTATAGAACCCGTGGCTCATCTCACGAGCATGTTGATCCAAAGCAGCTGGCGCCTGGTACTGTGATTAGTGGTTTGGATGATCACACTCTTATTGAAGCAGAACAGGAACTTTTGGGTCTATATAATAAACTTCAGAAAGAATCTGGGGATCTATCCGCCGAACTTTCAGCAGAAAGCTTGTTTCTTGATTCCAAGGAAGGTGATGTTACGTCCAAAGAACTGGTGGAAATTTTACACCAGCATTTTGATTTTTGTGGCGGCATTGGAAATGTGGGATATTCACATATTTCACAGGTAGATGGAATCTGTTTGCGTCATGAAGTTGTCAGCAGCTATATATGCTCGACACTTCAATCAGTCCTGTTATATTATTTAAATTTTATTATATCCTGTTCATGCATCTGCGGGGTCAAGCGATAAGCATTTCAAACCTGATTGGCTGATTTTAGTTTTTTTTGTTCTATTTTTTTTCTGCCATCTCTCTCTCTTTTCAGAATAAGAATACAATTCTGTGGTTGAGCATGGCAACTTTGTTCTGCTCTGCTAGGGAGAGTTGTTTTCACTTTGTTAACTCTGGTGGCATGAAGCAGCTGGGATATGTTTTTGCTCACCGAATGAAAATTTCTACTACTCTTGCATTGTTGCTTCTTGGAGTCATTGAGCGAGCTACTTCGCATTCAGTTGGATGTGAAGGTTTTCTAGGATGGTGGCCTCGGGAAGATGAAAGAATACCAGACGGCACTAGTGAAGGGTATAATCAGTTGTTGAAGATGTTGTTAGAGAATCAGAGGCATGATGTTGCCTCTCTTGCAACGTATTTACTTCATCGCTTGCGTCTTTATGAAGTTGCTTGCAGATATGAGGTACATCTGCATTCTTCTCCCATCTTTGTGTTAACTATAATTATGAAGGACAGATGTGTTTCTGCATAAAAATAATTATATCCTTACACGATTGCATGTCATATTTCAGTTAATAATTCTAAAATTTTGCTGAAATATGATTGCTCTTATTCCTTGTGGATTTTTGTGTTTGTGAATTGAAGATGGTGATTGTCTGGCTCTATGTGATGTAGTATTTGATCTTGCAAGGAAGCCATTTTCAGATTGGCTTTCAGAAAAATCACAGCCTTTAAGGCTAAATTTTGCCAGCATGTTTTTCTCTTGTGAAGTTGCTGTTGGGAAAGAGTGCAATACTATGAGAAAAAATTTACACTGACTTTGTGTGGATTTTTTCTATTGGATGATTAAACTTTATTGTTTCCTGTCCCAGTGCATAGTATTATCCATACTAGAGGGCATATCAGCTGTTGGCCAAGTCACAAATTCTACTGTGGATATGCTTGCGAGTGCTAAAGTGCAACTAAAGAAACTGCTGGTTAGTTTCTCTGTTGTATCGCCTGAATTGTTTGATTGATGCATATATGTTTTGTATCTGAAACTAGCATAGGAATGTTTCACTTTTGAGGTCAAACCTGTTAACAAGTATTGTTGCAGAAATTGATACAGCTGAGTGGTCCAATTGATGATCCTTCTCCAACAGCTGCGGCAAGCAGATTTTTTATACTTGGAGATACTGGACAGTTGGCATATAAGACAACCGTTGTCTTGATTAATCAATCAAATTGTGGCTTTTTGAATTGGGACATAGACGCACATTTACTTTCCCTTTTGAAGGTATGCACTTATACCATCCATTTGCTTGGTCAGTATTCATCCTTATATGAACGTTTTTTCAGAGTTAAGTTACATATGAATTGTCATCCTCTCCTATTTGCCTTGCTTTTGAAAATATGAAGAGTGGTGAGTTTCATTTTTTTTTACCTGTTGATTTTTATGTTATTAATTTTGTTTTAGATAAGTTGATGAGTTTATTTTCTTCTGCAAATACAAATTTTTTAATGTGGCTTTTCAATAATTTTCGTGCAATGGGTAATATTATATTAAGAAACTAGAATATGGACATAGGAAGCCTGGAAGATGTGATAGAAGAAGAGGTTGATACTGCATCAACCTACTGATTTTGTTAAGTACATGGAAGAGGGAAATCATAAGCATTAAATCTTGTTGTATGATTGCCAATTGTTTGTTTGAGGAAATCCCATAGGACATGGTAATTGATGCAAGGCAACCACGAAGGTCCGGTGTTTGCTTGCCGTACTTTTTTGTAAAATTATTACCATATAATCATTTCTGAAAATTTCTGATTGTGCACTATTTCTTTGTAAATTCTTGAAAAGATCATCGTATCAAGTATTATCATTGTAATTTCACCTGAAATTGACTGCTACCATATCTAAATTCCTTTCCATGTCCTTCCCTGCTTCAGTTTGTTGTAGGGGATTTTCTTTTACGCTGTGTACTAACTTTTCATTTCGTTGAACAGGAGAGAGGTTTCCTTCCCTTATCAGCTGCTTTGCTGTCATCTTCTGTTTTACGATCTGAAACAGGGCATGCAACAGACTTGTTTTTGGACATTGTATTGCATATTGAAGCAATAATTCTATTGCTGCTTTTTTGTCGCTCAGGTTTTTTCTTTGTTACCTTCTTTTCATAGTCAAGTTAAGTTGTAAGATATAATCATTTATGCTGCCTATTTTCACTTTCAGGATTAAATTTCCTTTTACACGACCTTGAAGTTTCTTCTACCATTATCCATGCTTTGCGTGGTATCGAGGATGTTCAGAAGGAAGATTTGCTTTCACTTCGTTTTGCACATGTCTTGATGTCTAAAGGGTTTTTTATTTCCCCAAAGGAAGTTGGACAGATAGTTGAGATGCATATGAGGGCAGTAAGTTTTTCTATTTGAATTATTTTTTGTATTATTTTTTTTGGGTTGCTGCTGCTCCATTAATTTTATCAGCACTGCCCCGTCGTTTTCTTATTTTCCTGTTTTTCATTTATTTTATGTTTTTATTTGCTTAGGCGTACTTTGTGAAACTAAATGCATTTTCATATGAATATATCCAGTTAATTGCCATAGATAGCTTATGCAAGTTGACCCCAAACACTGAAGAGTTTTTATGGGTGCTTTGGGATCTCTGTCGTCTCGCCAGGTAGCAGATGCTTATTATTATTGCTATGATTATTATTCATTATCTTTAAGTGTCTTAAGGCTTCAAACTGTCCTCGTTCAGGTCAGAGTGTGGACGTCAGGCTCTATTGGTCTTGGTGAATTTCCCCGAGGTATAATACTTACTTTTGCACGCCATGTGTTATGTGTGCTTTGACACATGACCTTTTTTTTTCATGATTTTTATAGAAAATATGAGGGAATGCTTGGATATAAATTTATCTAAAAATATCCAATCATTTTTAACCAATCACTCGTTTTAACTCAAATCTAACTCAACTTTAACTCAACCCCACTCTCCTCAATATTATCAATATCAATATAATTAAATAATATAAATCAACCATTCTTACATATTACATCAACCTTAATTCACTATTCATCCACTCACATAATATTAACTAAATGTGTTCACATCACCTCTCTCCTACTTTTACATCAAATCAACTTTAGTTATTTTATCTTAAATATTATTCTAATATAAATTCAAAATTCCATTAACAACTAACCATACCAAACCAAAAAATCCAATCAAAACCAAAAAAAATTTATATCCAAGCATCCCCTCAATATTTCAAGAATCTTTCTATTTGTGCGGCAGACCTCTTCCTTTTGGCTTATTGCTATCAGATAATCACATTGGTGTTTTTGTTCTGGGGGTTCTTATGAAACATCTGATTAGTGCATATTTTCTGCTCGATTTACGAAGTCGATCTGTATTTCATCATGCTTAAGAACAGTTCCGAGTTTTACTCAAGAACGAAGCTTGTATTTTTTCCTCTGCAGGCTCTCAAAGTCTTAATGGCTGCTTTACATTCTGGAAGGGAACTTGATCTTGTTTCTTTGAGCACTGGTATATTATTGACTTGAGGCATGAAGATTCTGGTTCATTACATTATTGTGTATTCTTATATCCGGCGAAATTCTTACATTGCAGGATTGTCACCTTTAAACCTTGCAATCTTTCACGCCGCTGCTGAGATTTTTGAAGTTATTGTAACCGATTCTACTGCAACTTCTCTGAGATCTTGGATTAACCATGCGAAGGAACTGCATATAGCCTTGCATTCCTCCTCCCCAGGTTCCAACAAGAAAGATGCTCCTGCACGGCTGTTGGAGTGGATAGACGCTAGTGTAGTTTACCATAGAAATGGTGCAATTGGACTCTTACGATACGCTGCCGTTTTGGCTTCTGGAGGAGATGTTCACATGGCCTCAAACAGTGTTTTGGCTTCTGATATGATGGATGTCGATAATGTTGTAGGGGAATCTTCCAATAGTTCTGATGGTAATGTTGTTGATAATCTAATTGGAAAACGGATAACTGAGAAGGATTTTCCTGGTGTCATTCTTCGTGACTCCTCCATAGCCCAGCTCACCACAGCAATTCGAATTTTGGCATTCCTTTCGGATAATTCGGTATTGTGGATCTCTTGTTAGCTTTGTTTCTGGATTTGTAGTTGTAAAAGTCATTTAAGCATATCTTTTTTGTTTACTCAAGGTTGTTGCTGCAACTCTCTATGATGAAGGTGCTGTTATGGTCATCCATGCTGTTTTGATCAACTGCAAACAAATGCTGGAGAGGTCATCCAATATTTATGGTAAGTTTTTTTTCCCTGCTACTGAATGCAATTTTGAGCATTAATAACATTTCCGAATCATACAGAAACTCATTATTGCTCGAAGGGCGCATCATAGTTTTAGTGGTTAATGGTTATTGCAGTAAGATGTTCTTCTGCATCAAATATGCATTGTTTACTAACCCACTAAACCCTATTATGAGATTTTTTCGTGATGGTTGGAATCATTGCTCCATGGAGGTACTACAATGTTTTTGAGATGCTTCAGTTTGGCTTACTTGTGAAGTTGAAAAATGGCTTATTTTTTAAGCAGATTATCTTGTTGATGAGAATATGCATTGTCAACTAACCCACTAAACCCTAATATGAAATTTTTTCGTGATGGCTGGAATTACTCCATGGAGGTATTACTTTCAGTTGGCTTGTGAAGTTGAAAAATTGTTTATTTTTAAGCAGATTACCTTGTTGATGAGGGTGGAGAGGGCAGTTCAACATCTGATTTGCTTGTAGAACGTAATCGAGAAAAGAGTTTGCTCGATCTTCTGATACCTTCGATGGTTCTGCTGATCAATTTGTTACGGAAGTTACAGGTTTGTGGTGACGTATTTTAGCGCATCTTTTCTGTACTTTTTTTTTAAAACTTAGTACATATTTCACTTTTAAGTTTTCATATGGTTCTACATTAAGAACCATATTTAGGAGATCAGTTTTTATTTTGTTTTAACTTGTTTTCGACTATGAAGTGTTTCCAGTAATCATTATCTGCTAATGAAGGTTTGGTTTGTCTGGACTCACTGATTCTCATGAGATATCTGGTTATATGAATCTTGGTCGAGGTCTTTGACTTCTGAGTATTGGAAAAATAAAATATTGCAAGCAATTTGACTCCAACCTTTTTTGTTGATTTGATAAGGCCTATCTGTCTACTTATCTGTCTACCTGACAATGTGCTCCACATTGCTTTATCCAATGAAAGTTGTAACCTTATTTAGTTATTTTGGAATTTGGTTTTTATTGGAATTGGATATAAGCTACTTGTTTAAGTTTGGTAGATTGAAAGGTTTGCCAGGATCAGTAATTTAGAATTGGAATGGTCGTTGCTGTTGTTGTTNNNNTTCCTACGGTGATGCATTACTACCTTGTGCACTATGCTCCACACTTTTTCTTGATCCTAATCTATTAATAATGGAGATATCAAATGTAGTATTGAAGCATACCTCTTTACTGAATTCAGGAAGTGAAAGAGCAACACAAGAACACAAAACTGTTGAATGCACTCCTACAGTTGCACCGAGAAGTGAGGTAGCATCAACTCTATCTCCTTTTACTGAGTATAACAAACAAATTCTTCAGGTTGTCTGATTGGATTATCATATGCAGCCCCAAGTTAGCTGCCTGCACGACAGAGTTATCTCATTCTTGCCCTGAGTTTGTGCTTGGTCTTGGAGCTGTTTGCCATCTTATTGCATCTGCACTAGCATGTTGGCCAGTTTACAGTTGGACTCCCGGCCTTTTTCATTTTGTTTTGGACAGTCTTCACGCAACTTCATCATTGGCACTGGGTCCCAAGGAAACTTGCAGTTTACTTTGCCTGCTGGTATATGAATTTTTTCCAATCAGCAGTGTGGAATACTCTCAGGTTCTGTATTTAGTAGTATATCTGATAATTGAAACTTGAAACTGACTAAATCTGCTGCATTGTGTATCTCTAGAATGATTTGTTTCCGGATGAAAGTATTTGGCTGTGGAAGAATGGGATGCCAATGCTGAGCCCCTTGAGAGCAATTGCCTGTGGGACAATACTGGGCCCAGAAAAAGAGAAACAAATCAATTGGTATCTGAATCCTGGAAATCCTGAGAAGCTAGTTTCTCAATTGTCTCCACAACTTGCGAAACTTGGAGAGATAATTTTACATTGTGCTGTCAGTGTAAGTGGCACATGTATTATTTTCATAAAGCAATTCAAGTTAAATGCTATCGTATAATTTCTCATGGTTGATTATTCTAGAAGAACGCCAATTCTTTAATTTCAATTTGTATGCCTATAGATCTCATATTTCAAATCATGATGGTGGTATTGTTCATTTCTCAGATGTCAGTCGTCATACAAGATGCTCTACGTGTGTTGGTGATTCGGATTGCATATCTGAATCTTGATTATGCTTCACAAATGGTGAAACCTATAATATCATGGATCAGTCATGGCCTCTTAGAGGCATCAATATTATCTGATGTGGATGCTTACAAGGTTATCTAGAACACTTACACTCAAAATTTCTGTCATTCTTGTCATCTTGTGCCAATTTTTTTCCCTATAATATGATTTCTCTGTGTTTCTGTACAGGTTCACCAATTACTGAAGTTTGTTGCTATCTTGTTGGAGCATCCATATGCTAAGGTATTCTTTATATCCTAGAACTAATTCATGTTGCTTTCCTTTTGAACTCTTCACCAGGATGTAACGATTTGTTAGTTCCATCTGATTTTATGTGATCTGTACAACAGCGGCTACTGTTGAAAGCAGATGCCTCTCAGATGTTTAAGAAAGTGCTCCAGAAGTGTATTGAAGCGGCCAATTATGATGCTAGGTTGGCCCAAGAATACCCAAAATATGAATTTTCACATCTTACTTGGTGCGTTCCGGTGTTCCAGTCAATCTCATTGATTAATGACGGTCGAGCATCAATGAAGTATCCTGGAGCACACGACAGGTCAGAAACATTAAGCTCATAAGTGTCTTCATTTCTTCATACTTGATTGCATAAACATGCATTTGTGATGAATGATGATTTACTCTGTTTACAGGAAAGTTCCGGATAGTTTTACAGATGAAGAATGCGTCACATTCTGTTCATATCTCGTTCGATTTTGCATGGTATGTTCCCTTTTTTTTTTTTTTTTTTTTCNTCGTCTTTACCTGCACACCAGGATATAATTGGTCACTTGTACTATCTTTCTTGTACATGAGCTTGTTGAGAGCTCTAGTAGATTGACCATCTATGTTCCGTGCTCTCTTCTTCCCTTTTACTCTTACTTTCATTTCTTGTGTGAGTCCCGTCCCATTTCTCCTTACGTTGATCCCATTTATTTTACATCTATTCCTTTCCATTCAAATTGTAGGTTTTGCCACTCGGAAAAGAATTACTTGCCTGTTTGTCTGCTTTCAAAGACATGGTTTGTTACACTGAAGGCCAAAATGCTTTACTCACTGTGGTGAAGCATATTCAGTTATCTGCAGTTCAGGACTCTGAGTCTCAGACTAAACATGCAGCCAATGCAAGTTGGGGTGTTATATGTGCATCTGAGTGGGGACATCCACCAATGTTATGCTGCTGGACCAATTTGATAAGGTTGTTTGAATCTAATGATGTTCCTGCCATAGAAGTTGCTAAAGCAATGTACTTGCTAGCTTCAGGCATGTTGGGCTTTTGTATGAATGGGGAAAGGTTAGTTCAGATAAGCCTTTTTCCAGTTTTTGTTTCTTTACCATCTACATAGAGCAGTTTATTAAGCTTTTTTGAATCAAATATCAACTGTTATGATTGAATGTGTGTACAGCACTCCCTTCAATCAGCGTGCAGTATTTCACTCCTTTAACAACAATGCTGTACTTTTTTAATCAGTTTATTGGCAGGTGCATCTGTGATGCTCAAAGCTGATATTTGTTTGAAATTTAGGACTTATCATCCTTATGAACCCATTAAGTTGTCCAAAAGCTATTTCTTCACTTCGAGGCTGTGGTAGTTTAAACTAGGTTTAACTGCATTCTTTGCTGCTTGGCGCACTAATTCCATATATATATATCCCAAATAGCATAAGATTGGAAAAATTATGTTGCTGTTATCTTCAGTTATTCCTGCGCAAATCTAATTTTATGATGAGATAAAATTGGCACTATCCTTGTATGTTGCTTTTTCATCAGTGTGAAACCAGAGAGAGTTGCTGCTATGAAATTACTTTTTGGCATGAAGAGTGACGCTTCTTCAGAAAGCTTTGTCGAAGAAAACCTAAAGCACATTGAGGAGCTCTCAAATGTATTACTAGAATCCGATAAGGACTTCGAATCTACATCTCACGATCTTCCGACACTGCATCAGGTTATTATATATTTCTTCACTCCATCCATTTTTCTTCCCTGGACAAAGTTTCTTAATGTTTTCCTTTTCATTTTCTGGTTTCCAAATACATGTCCAGATCAAGGAGACATTGAAGTTGTTCCTTCTTTTGTTACAAACATCCACAACAGACGAAACACATCCCAACCTTGCCGAAGCTTATGCCTCCTTATCTCCTCATCCCCTCTCCACAAGGCTACACAAATTCTCACACACAAGCAAGGATCGCATAGAAGACCACATCATCCCAGACGAACTCAACCCCACCTTCTCCTGGGAATGCCCCGAGAATCTCCGCACCCGAATGACTCAAACGGACCTCTCAGCCAAGCGAAAAATTTCCTCACTCGACCCGCCTAACCGTCTCACACGCGGAGACAACTCCGCACCAGAGCCCGCCTCCCGTGGGCCCGCGGCCCAATCCTCCTCCCTCCAAGGCCCAACTCGCAGGGACACTTTTCGTCAGCGCAAGCCCAACACCAGCCGCCCCCCTTCAATGCACGTGGACGATTATGTCGCGAGAGAACGCAACACAGATAGCGCCAGCCCAAACGTGATTGCCGTCCCTCGAATCGGGTCCTCGGGTGGCCGCCCGCCGTCCGTCCACGTGGACGTCTTCATGGCTCGTCAGAAAGAGCGCCAGCTTATCGCAGGCGCTTCGAACGACTCGCCCGCGCAGTCCAAGTCAGCTTCGGCTGTGGATAATGACAACAAATCGAACAAATCACAGTCAACATCATTGAAACCCGATTTGGATGACGATCTCCAGGGGATTGACATCGTGTTCGATGCCGAGGAAGTCGAGCCGGACGACAAGCTGCCTTTCCCGCAGCCCGACGACGATAATCTGCCGCAGCCTGGGCGCGTGGTAGTTGCAATGGGGTCCCCTCCTCAGTCCATAGTCGAGGAGACTCCGGAGATTATGCCGTTGGCGCGTGAGCCGAGTATTTCGTCTGATAAGAAATTCGCGGAGGATCCTAAGAGGACGATTGATTCGTCTGGTTCTTCTTCGAGTAGGTTCCCTGTTGATTCGCGAGTGGTGCCGAACTTGTACCCTAACAAGGCTGTGGGGTCCACGGGGTTTGGGGTTTTCTATGACCATAAGTTTCCTTTGAGTCAACCTCCGCTGCCCCCAATGCCGCCTCCCCCAACTGTCTCGCCCGTGATGTCTCAGAATGTGGAACCTGTTATGGCGGCGCCAGCTCAGTTTCTACCGGGATATCATGTGAGTAGATGCGTTTTGGTTTATATTTGTTAAATTAATTTTAATTCTTTATTTGTTATTTATTTATTGTTTGGTTAGATTGGATTAGAAACGAAAGTATCAGAAATAAAGTTGAGGTAGCGCCCACAGAGGAGAAAATGGGAGAATCGCGATTAAGGTGGTTTGGGCATGCGCGTAGGAGAGACTTCGAAGCACCAGTGAGAAGGGTAGAAACATTAGATTTAAGAACTCAGGGGGAGGGGTAGACCCTAAGAAAACTTGGAATGAGACATCAAAAAATGATTTAAAATATTTTAATTTGAATGAGGATATGTGCTTTGATCGAGCACGATAGCGGCATGTGGTCTGTATAGTCGACCCCACTTAGTGGGATTTTAACTGCTTGTTGATTGATTGATTGATTGTTATTTATTGTTTGTACTCATTGTTAATATTTTGTAGGAATAATTGTTGAGGTATTACCTTATTATTTATTGAAATTGTCAATGGGATTGTTGAGTTGTTTTTGCTCGGGCACTTTGTAATTATGAAACTGCTTTTCCTTCTGTCCTTTAGAAAAGTCGAAACCTTAAGGGTACTTTTCGTAATTAATTAATTTTCAAAACGAACGACCTGATCGTTTAAAATCCTTTGCATCACAGGTTCCGTCAGATTACATGTCTTCCATGCCAAGCAGTTCAGCATCGCCGCCAATCTCAACCTCGATGCCTGACATGAAATTCGGACGGCAATCTCTCTCTTCCCCTTTGGTGGGCCCCACAACAAGACCCCCTCCCCCACTCCCTCCCACCCCACCCCCTTATTCCTCAAACTCCTCTCTCAAAAACTCCGCCTCCCCATCCCCACAGTATTTCCCGCCCGTCCGCAACACAACCGACCTTCAGCAGGCCTCGGCCCAGCGCCTGCTTTTTCGACCCAGCTCAATGCCCGTTAACCTTTATGCCAGCAACTTAGTTCAGCATCCAGGGGAAAACTTACCGAACATCCCTCAAAATCTTCCAGTGCCGTTGCCTTCATTTAACCCTTTACCGAATCTTACTCAGTTACAGCCTTTGCAGCCGCCACAAATCTCTCGACCTCCACCTCAGCACCTTAGGCCACCTGTCCAGCCCTCACAGTCCGATCAAGGGGTATCTTTATTGCAAAGCTCGTTACAAATTCAAACTCAATCGTCTCAAGTGGTACAGCAGGCCCAAGTGTCACCTGCTCATGCGTACTATCAAACCCCACCACAGGAGAGCACTTCACATTCTCTGCCCCAGCCGCAAGATTCGGGGATGTCTCTACAAGAATTTTTTAGGTCTCCTGAAGCTATTCAGGTACTTTTTTTTTTTCACTTTGGATACAAATTTTTTACTGAAAGTGATTTTTTTGGTTAACTTGAGTTAATTTGGAAAAAAGATGGTATGGTTAATTGTTAGTGAGGTTTTGAATTTATATTAAAATAATATTTAAAATAAAATAATTAAAGTTGATTTGATATAAAAGTAAGGGAGAGAGATGATATGAAGTGATGGTTAGTTAAAATTATGTGACTGGATGAATAGTGGATTAAAGTAGATGTGATGTGTAAGAATGATGGGGTGGTATTATTTAATTACATTGATAATATTGAGGATAGTGGAGTTGAGTTAAAGTTGAGTTAGATTTTGAGTTGAATAAAATTTTGGATGAAAAATTTTGTATACAATCATGCCCTGAGTTTTCTTGAACTGCAGTCTCTTTTGAGTGATCGGGACAAACTCTGTCAGCTTCTGGAGCAACATCCAAAGTTGATGCAGATGTTACAGGTTCGATAGATCTCTGCTTCTAATGAGTGCTTCTTGTTCATTTGTTTAGGTTAACATATTATGCATAGAGAGTCAGTTATTTGTGTTTATGAATGTTGTTTGTAGTGATATGTGACGTGCTTGAGAATATTTGAGTAAATGAGATTATAAAATGGTTTGGGTTTCGAAGCACGAAAGCATTTTGCTATGCACTTTCGTAGTTTATGTTTTACAAAGGGAATAAAGGGCTTTTATGCAGATGGGTGTGTCTACATGAAAAAAACCTTCTCGTGCATTTTGCCGTTGGGTTTTCTTCTTGTGTGCAAAATATAATTTTCTATTTTCAGCTGTACAAGCAAAGATTCACTGTCTGTATTATTATGTTCCTTTCTGGGATTTGGGTCGAGATTTTTCTTTTTCCTTATCTGATCGTGTGCATGTTTTTACCAGGAGCGACTTGGTCAATTGTAGTGGCAGTCGGGCACTATCTGAGGATACACACAAATTACCATGAAAAAGTCGGCATTTTTTCCCGCCTTTTGTATTTACGGAATGTACTCTATCAAAGTCGAACTGTATTATTTTATTTTTGCTTGAGATGTAAACTGAGTAGGTTAATTGTTGTATGTTTGTCCTTTTAAACCTTTTTTTTCTGTCTGTATGGTTTATTAGTGCTTCGATGGGTTTCCTTGTCCGGCTTATGTTGCGATGCAGAACAGTAGGATATCATATATGAGAGATGTAAATAATCTCGTGTACATTATTAGTATGCCCATCTTTNTATATCATCAATTTTTTAGGCAATTTTGGGGTGCGTATTAGATTATATCATCAATTTTTCTATCTCTACATTTAATCGATTTGATGTGGTCAGTCCTCAAACAATGTTAAGCAGTTTGAACGAATGCATGGGAAGTGAAAGGAATACTTGTACCAATTTCACGAGAGTCCCAATGATTGTATGTCTGCATCAACAATTTCAAAAGGCATAATAGGCCAAAAAATTTGTGGGTACGACTCTGAATTTAGATTAATTACTACTGTCAGCCAATCACCAATTTAAAAAAAGCGACTGTTTATTTAGATTAAGTACTATTACTAGTTGCTAGCCAGGCAATTTATAGTTCTTTAAATAAATATATACAAAAATGTTTGGAAGTAGAGAATTTAAATTGAAAAGAACAAACAAAAATCAAGGGATTTAACATATCACAATTTTAAATAAAAATATAAATAAAGGGATTTCCAATATCTCAATCTAAAAAAATCTAAGTTTTTGAAATCGTTAAAACTAAAACGTCTGCTTGAAATTGGATTCTACATGGGGATGGAACCTAATTGGGGAAATTCTATTAGAAGGCTCAACTTTTTGATATTGTATCAATTTAAGGCTTTTTATTCTTTTTCAATAAAAGACCTATATTTTAGGTTATTCTCAATTTAAGGCTCACTTTTTAGTTAACTTTCCATTGTAAGGCCTAAGTAACTTTATATTTTGATATAAATATGTGAACCAATTAACTTTATTTTATAATATAGTTATGTGAAAAAAAAAAGAATTTTTTATTTAGTTTGTATTTTACATACTTATAATAAATATCTTTAAAAAAAATATGTAATGGAAATATTATTTTTATTAATAATATAAATATGTAATAAAACTAAAAAATAATATATAAATGCAATCTACAAAAATATATAATTTTCAACAAGCAATGACATAGTATCAACTTTTGCTTCCAAAAAGAAAAGTTAAAATTAATTTTTATTAATATAATTTTACTAAAGATATTTATTATTTTTTACTATAAGTATGCAAAATATAAATTACAAAATAATAATAATAATAATAATAATAATAATACTTTTATTCACATAATAGTTGTTTTACATATTTATATGAAAAAGGTAAAGTTAGTTGGGCCTTATAATGGAAAGTTAACTGTAAGCCTTAAAGTGAGAACAACCTAAAATATAAGCTTTCTGTTGAAAAAGTATAAAATTCAGGCCTTAGATTAATACAATTACTAAAAGTTAGGCCTTCCAATAGAATTTCCCCAACCTGATTGGAGTTCACGGTTCTTTTTTTCTTTTTTTTTTCAATATTTTCAGTAATTTTTTTTTATTCTTTCTCTGTTCAATCAATTTGTATTCATGAATGTTCGGTATAGGAAGCACCTATGTGAGTCTTTGGCTTTCCAGACAGAACAGACGCGTAAGTCAGTCAGTTCAATATCATGGGAGCAAGTGTAGGCTCGAAAGCCGTAGCGCGCTAGCGCGCTTGTAGCTTTCTCGCTCGATAGCTAAGGAAGTTGGTCAAAACAAGTTTAAAGATGCTCGACTAAAAGGAGAGCGATAACTTAAACATTTTTTACAGATTCAAAATAAGTGTAGTATGAACAAAAAGCATTAGTCCAATAAGCGCTCTTCAAACATGATTTTACCTTTATCCACCATCTGAAGTGTAGTATGTCATTAAAAAATTAATATTGACGCGATTTATAGTGTAGTAAGTACTTATTATTATAAAAAATAGATGTCGATCGAGAAAAAGGCATGTACTGGTATATGTGTTAGGATGAGTGCAATCATAGTAGCTCCCAAGAAATAGGGGATGTTTTATTCTATATTAGAATATAATACCACTTGTGAGTTGTTCCACGTCGTTTATATATGGAAAATAGGCCAAACTTATAAGTCTAGTAGACTACTCTTCCTTTCACCAATTGGTTTTGGGATGAAACCTCACTTGGGTTTCATCTGGCTTTCTCTGTTATGGTGCGCTTCACGTGCGTGTGACCACACCCGTTTTTCCCTCGTTTCTTACATGGTATCAAAGCTGGTTCTAACGTACCCGTTATCCCAGCTTAGTTGGGTTTGGGCCTCGTATGAAAGACTCACAAGTGAGGGGTGTATTAGAATATAATACCACTTGTGAGTTGTCCTACAAAATAAGTCTAACTTATAAGCCTAGTAAACTACTCCTCCTTTCACCTATTGGGCTTAGTAGGCTACTGTTGCAAAGAGAGCAATTACTTTGTTATTAAAATTTTCCTTTAATAAATGACCCAAACGTCGCTTTGGCCGAGTGGTTAAGGCGTGTGCCTGCTAAGTACATGGGGTTTCCCCGCGAGAGTTCGAATCTCTCAGGCGACGAAATTATATATGTTTTGTCCATTTTCCCAAAAATTCCAGAAAATCTCCACGACGAAATTGTATATTTTTCCCTACTTAAGTGAAGTCAACAAGATTTATTCGCTAGAGGGGCCCTCAAGTCAACAATTTCTTACCCATTAGCTGTTCCTTACAGCAATTTTTTATTTATTATTATTATTTTTTTTTTTCAAAACTTTAGAGCAATTTTAACCATTAAAGTTTTATAAACGTTTTTTTATTTTTATTTTTTTTACATTCTTAATACTACACATCATTCTTGTTCCTATATGTTTTCCACTTATTTTATTTTATACTTTAATTCTATTCAAATTTACTAAAAACTGTACTTATTATTTTTTACAATGACATATCTATTATATATATATATATATATATATCATAATATTATTTAATTTTTAATAAATAATTTTTGAGTTCAATTACAATTTCAAAAAATAAAAAGAAATTTTGTTACATAAAGAGGAAATCACTTAATTTATTTAGTTTGTACGTATTGAAAATTAAAAAACACAAATAAAAGGCAGAAACGTGAAATTAGGAAAAATAATGTTGATTTGTAATTTTTTTTAAAAGTTAATATTATTTCATTAATTATTTTTAATTTAAAATCTTACAACATTAAATTAGAACACGGAATTAAAGTTTTAATTCCAGAAAAATGCAAATCAATCTCCAAAGAAACATAATTTGCACTTCAGGACAAACAACATGAAAATAAAAAAAATGAATAATCAAATTTAAGAAAAAAATAATGAATGAGGAGGAAATAATAAAAACAAACCCACATGCATGTGTGGTAAACCCACTTAAGTGAGGTTTGGAAACACAATGCTAGAGAAAAAACCAAACCCAAATCCCCATTATTGCAATGTAAACTTGAAGTTTTATGTTTTTAAATCAATTAGAAAACCTCCCATTATGGGTGGTCTTTGCAAAAGACTTTTGACTTCTACTAAGAGCATCATTATCAAGGGATTTATGTAAAGTTTATAAACCTCATTTCCCATAAGCCAATCATGTGAGATTGTATAAGAGTAACTCCGAAAAGCCATCGCCCACCAAGGCGATTTCGAGTGGTAGGAGAAATACATCAGAAGATCATAAGGTTATCAAAGTTGTCCGTTCGCACTTCGTGTATCTCGACCTTCCTTAAATGACTCGAGATTGGCTTCTTCACTCTCGATGTATGTGGCCAGAGGCTCTACTTAACAACGTCGAGGCAAGTGACCAGAGCTATAAATTGATAAATTGACCTTCAGTTCCATCAAGAAATTGTTGATCCAACCTTCAATGCACATGAGTTGTTCTATGATGTTACATCGTCTCGCATCACAAGTTTTTGTGTGATGCAACTTGATTGTTAGGCGAATGGACCTCTTATACTTTCTTAACAAAACTACATAATTGTACTATAAAATATCATATTTTTATTGTTGGTTACAATATGATGTTTAAACTTTTAAAAGTGTCTGTGTGTGTGTGTGTATACCTATTAAAATAGTATGACTCCTTAATCTTATAACATTTTTTTTTGTCCCTATTATCTCATTAATTATGGAAGGATGGTGTTACAGCCCCCCAACATTTCCTGCACAAAACGTAGTTGTCTAAAATTATAGAATCCTGCAATATTAAAAAATTAACATAATCCCGCCAATTAATGAATATATGCTTTTTACATATAACATGTTTAGTAATAGAGTTTTATAATGCATTCCCCTGATGGTTTAAGAGTTAGAATTATATAATTCACATATGACAAATATCCATCCATTATTTCATTCATGACATCACCTTTAAAATCAACTTGGCAACAAAAAATATGGTAATCCACTTGGTAACTCAATCTTACAGTCAACTTTTGCAACAAAAAGATATAGTAAAGTAAATCACTGGGTAACTCAATCTTACCGTCTACTAATTCTTATATTTGATAATCCTTCACTGTTCAATGAAACATCATACAGAATTAGAGAACACACCTGTAATCCAACATTTGCCAAAGCTACGGAAATCACAACACTCCGTCTGCTGCTAAAAGAGAATACCATTCAAAAGTTACTTAATAGACTATTATTTAGTTTATCATTAAATCAGACACCGCATCAAATGATCAAACACAAACATACAAAAAATTACAACTAACCCGTAATTTTTTAGTCATCGTCTTTTCTCTTGGGGCACAATGACGATATATGCCCTCGCTCCCCGCACTCGTAACAAGTCCGCCTCCGTATTTTTGAACTAACAGCATTTGTTGCCTCACTAGCAGCAGTAATTTTTGCACTAACTGCAGTTATTACCTCACTGTTTGCAGTAACTTTTGCACTAACAGCATTTGTAGCCTCATTACCAGCAGTAGTTTGAACTTCATTAACCACACTAAAGTTACCAGTATGAACTTCATTGCCTTCCAGCCCCGATTTTAAATTGGTCGAGACTCCAGGTCGCCCACCGCACACGATTTTCTGATCCAATTTCAAAGCCGTGCTGAGAGAGAGGCTATCACCAAAGTCCACATTTGCATACCCTTTGAACTCTCCCGTCTCTTTAAAATCAACGTTGCAACAAAAAATATGGTAAACCACTTGGTAACTCAATCTTACAGTCAACTTTTGCAACAAAAGAAGAGGGATTTACTTGAAATAGTATTAAAAATTCCCGCTTAAAATTTTCAAAATTACTATTCTTAGTTTTTTTTTTTTTTTGGAAAATGGCGGCTGAATGAAAATTCGAATTCAAATTTTAAAAAAAAAAAATTGTTGTTTGAGAAAGATATTGTGTAAACCTTAATTCTTAAAAATATGAGCAATGATTTCCTTAAATGCTACAGGCAATAATGAGAAAGAAACTTGAAAATCTTGCTTCCCAAAAATCGGATCAGTCATTTCCTTGAAATTTTTCGGTCAAACGTCTAAATTTAGCTAAAAAATCCGGTCAATCATTTGACGAATAAAATGTTTGAAATTTTTTGAAATCATTCCGAAAAGTCATGCCAACTTAATTATTAAATATTTTTTTAAACATATTTATCTATCTACTAATCTCATATTTTATGGTCACAACTAAAAATTCGTATTTATTTAATAAAGAATGTTAATTTCGGAAATTAATTTTTATATTTCAAATTGTTTAACTTAATTGATAATATTTTGTCCATATTTATCTAACTATAAATCTTTTAAAAGTTTAGAAAGAATATTCTTGGTAACTATTTTTTTGTACACATCTATATTTCATCTCATATCCAAATTACAGATTTTAATGCGAATTTTAAATATCTCATATTTATTGTATATATATATATATAATTTTTTTTTTCAAAAAAAAGCATGACAATTCATATAATTAATTTTACCTGTTGGATGTTATTTGTTTGGTTTGGGACACTCATTCTATTCAAGTAAGTAATATATAATTTTTCATATTTTGTATTTCGTTTCTTGCAATAATGAGATGTTAAATATAAATAATTATGTTTAAAACAAAATTTTAAAAAAAAATTCAGTAATAAATCCATCCGTGCATCGCACGTGATGCGTACTAGTAGTAAAGTAAACCACTTGGTAACTCAATCTTACGGTCTACTAATTCTTATATTTGATAATCCTTCAACGTTCAATGAAACATCATACAAAATCAGAGAACACAACTGTAATCCAACATTTGCCAAAGCTACGGAAATCACAAGACTCCATTTGCTGCTAAAAGAGAATGACATTCAAAAGGTACTTAATAGACTATTATTTGGTAATCATTAAGTTAGACACCGCATCAAATGATCAAACACAAACATACAAAAGATCAGAACTAACCCGTAATTTTTGAGTCATCGTCTTTTCTCTTAGGGCACAATGACGATATATGTCCTCGCTCCCCGCACTCATAACACGTCCGCCTCCGTATTTTTGAACTAACAGCATTTGTTGCCTCGCTGCCTGCAGTAACTTTTGCACTAACAGCATTTGTTGCCTCGCTGTTTGCAGTAATTTTTGCACTAACAGCATTTGTAGCATCACTATTTGCAGTAACTTTTGCACTAACAGCATTTGTAGCATCACTGTTTGCAGTAACTTTTGCACTAACAGCATTTGTAGCCTCATTAACAGCAGTAATTTGAACGTCATTAACCACGCTAAAGTTACCAGTATGAACTTCATTGTTTTTCATCCGTGATTTTAAATTGTTCGAAACTCCCTTCTTGGGCACAGCACAACTTATTCTAACAGGTCGCCCGCAAACAATCTTCTGATCCAATTTCAAAGCCGTGCGGAGAGAGAGGCTATCACCAAAGTCCACATGTGCGTACCCTTTGAACTCTCCAGTCTCTTTATCCTCACCAAATCGAATAGATTCAATTGTGCAGTCCGAAAAAAGATTCCTCAAATCCTCCTCTGTCACATCCCACGACAAATTACCAACATAGATCCTATTGTAGCCCTCCATGACTGAAGGGGAAAAGGCGGGAGATTGGTTGTTTTTTACTTTGGACGACTTGTATGGCTGGATTTTAAGGAATAGGCCACCCCTGGGAAAGTGCGGAAAATTTCAATTATGACAAAAGAGAATAGAGAAGGTTATATAAGTTTTAAGAGTAAAATAGAAGCTTACATATCTGAACCATCAAGTGCTAATGCTCTTTTAGCTGCTGCCTCTGTCTGCAATGAAGTCAAGAAAAAAATTAATATATAATGACATGGTAGTCTTCTGGGATGTATGTCTTTTGGTCTAAAACACACAGTCATTTCATGTCTAATCATCTCATTCTTCCAAAGGAACATTAATCATCGAGGCTTGCAAAGATCTTTTGGAAAAAGTCAACGACTAGTGACTTGAAGAAGGAAAGAAATAAGGGTATGCTATAAGGAATTTACACCATATAGAATGATGGGTAGACGGATATTCTGGCCAGTCAGGTCCAAAACATTGCAGGTCATAGATAATGTTTTGGCACAATTTACCATGAAAAACTTAATAGTGGAAAGATATAGGTGTATGCTATAAGGAATAACCAGTAAACCATATAGAATTATCGGTTGAATGGATATTCTGGCACGTCAAGTCCAAAACATTGCAGGTCATAGATAGTGTTCTGGCACAGTTTACCATGAAAATTTTAATAGTTGCTCTCATGTTTATAAGATTGTATTTATCTGCAGTCATCTTTTTTCTCTCTATCAACCTTAAGCACTTTGCATCTCATTGGCAGTATAAAAAAGGCCTGTGCATTAGCGAGTGTTATATTCTATGTCAGAGATCAAAAAATCACTGTCAAATCTTTTAAAAGGATAATATAAATAAATACTAGATTAAGTAATTTGATGCAGTGAACATGTTTACAATAATCCGGAAAAAAAAAATAGAAAATAGAACCTAATCTTCATCATATTATGTACATATATACATACATAACATATATCCAAGAGGCAAATTAGATATCCAAAAGCACGAATTAGGATATCACTCAAGTTAGGGCTGCAAATGAATCAAGCAGCCCGCGAGTGCTCGAGTCAAAGCTTAGCTCTAGCTCAAGCTCAAGTTTAACATAAATAAATTGCATATATTTCCATAGCCAAATTAGAAATCAAAAGGCAAGAATTAGTATCACTCAAATTAGGCTGCAAACGAATCGAGCAGCCCGCGAGCACTCGAGTCAAAGCTTTGACTCAAGCTCTAACTTGATCCTATATGTTACTAGCATGGATGTTGGACAAGCCGCTAAAGTATATGTGTAATGTACCTAAATACGGAGCTAATTAAAGCCAAACTCAGAGTAAAAAAATTATTTGTAAAGAATTTTTTTAAAAAAAAATGAGCCAAACCCGAGCTGAAGAAATTTGAGCCAATCACAAGCATATGTATACTGTTGCTGCGTCGAGCCGAGTCATCGAGCCTAGCTTGATAAGGCCAATGCTCGACTCTGCTCTGCTCGTTGCAGCCCTAATCCAATTCAAGCCAGTTACGCAACCTACCTTGAAAGTGATTATTGCAATTCCTCTAAACTTTCCAGTGTCTGGGAAAGTCATACAATCAACACATGTAATGGTACCACAACCTTCAAAGTAACTCCTGATATCATCTTCAGTGGAGTAGTATGGAATGCCTCCGACATATACTTTGTCAGACACGTCTGCAGCTCTGCAATTTTTTTAAAAGACAAAAATAGGCAATATGATAACATGGAACTATTATTTACTTTAAAAACAAATCTAGACAACCTCATCGAGAAGTTCCATAAAACTTACTATAGTTACATCTATAGGATTTGTTTTCATGAATCCTTAAATTTTCACAAGACGGAAGCCTCCCTCACATTGGTGAGAAACTGTACCAGATCTTATGAAAAGTACACTTGCATCTCTAGGTTTCTCAACTCAACTACAAGAAGTTTGAGTTTTAAAGTCTCTTTCGAGTATAATATTCTAGTCTGAAATATGTGAGCCATGAGAACAGCACAACAGTACTGTGAAAGTAAAATCTGAAATGCAATACCATGTGCATAAATTTCGTCCAGACTCCCTACTCCCTTTTTTTTTTAAAAAAAAAAAGTAATAAACATACATTACGAAATCAGTGTCTCAACATATGCATATTATCCAACTTGTCAAATAGGTAAGTAAAATTTGGAAAAAAAAATGGCAACAATAATGTTGACTTGTTCAGTAGCAAGGAAGTCCTCACAAAGCATAACTTTCTATTAATACATAAAATTTAATATTTTTTGGGAATCACATACCTTTTAGAGTCCTTGTTCGGCTCGGATGCAAGCTGCTCTGCATTAGCTTCACTCCCACTATGGTCAACCCCTTCCTCATTGACTTTCTCATTTCCAGCCTTATTCTTAGGCTTCTTCTTCTTTTTATTCTTCTTCTTTTTCTTTACCTGCTTAGGATTTTTCTCTTTCACATCCTCTGATGCCTCAGTTTCCTGTCTCTTCCGCTTTTTCTTCTTTACCTCCTCACCATCTAACTTTGACCCGTGCTGTTCATTTGCATCTGCACCATTCCCCATCCTTCCATTTTCAATAACATCTGGTTTCTGTATCTGCACCCTTTGTCTTCGTTTTTCTCTTTTAGATAATATGGGCGTGTGGGCCTCTTGATTTAGAATAGTCCTCAGAGAATTAGGTGTGTTAGATTTCAAATCTTCCGAGTTCCTGGTCATGTTATTCTCAGCTTCGGTGGCAACTAGACATTCAGCTTTCGCAGCTCGTAGCTTTTGCTTTAGCTTCTTGTTTGATAACACCATCCTTGCGCTTTTTTCTTCTCTTTCTCCGGACAATTAAGCAGCTCTGACACATGATGTAGAAATTTGATGTTTCAGTTACGAACAAATTCATCACTCTTCAAAGAAATGAAACTCCAAAGAAACAAAACAATTAATACCTGTCACCCAATGATAAAAATGTTGCATATTATTTTTTTCATCAGTTTAAGAAATCGATACATCAGAAAGAGTCCGACCGCATTTTTAGACTAAAGAAAAAATTTAAAAAATAAAAAAAAATATTCGTTCCACACTGTAAAAGGTTGCTTTCTTGCCAAAGTAGAAGTAGCAACAAGCTGTAAAATACATGCCCAATGAAAAAATTTGGGAGGCCTGAAGTAACTGAAAGAAATGGGGCAGTTTGGAGGTGGAATTATACACAAATATTGTTGTTCAACAACAATCTGCAACTTAAGAACGTAGCAAACTCTAAAGTTTGGAAATACTCATTATTATCACAAAAGCACAGACATCTTTCAAAAGTAGTCATAAAATATAGAATATGAACACAGATAAATATCTTACATAGCAAGTTCAGAAGAAACAATTGCTTCAAACCACAATAATCTCCGTGTTAACTAGAAGGAACACCGGTCAACTGGCTTAGCTGTCCACATAGTTCATCAAGTATTCCACAACATCAATCCAAGAACTTAAATAAAATTTCAGTAAGAGCTCGCAATGGCTGAATGCATCAAAAATAGAACAGCTAAGAAGCTATAGAATATCGAAGGGTCCTTGTTCCACCACTGAATAAAGACCAGATTCCAGACCGAAATTTTTACATGAACATGATAAGCATATTTTGAGGCGTCAAAAGGGGACCAGAAGGAAGTGACGTTAAACTTACCAGAAAGTTTGGGGAAACAGCCGGCCGGCGTGAACCTCCCAGTGGCGGTAAGACGCTGAAACTCAGAATTCATTCACAGATGGAGAACCTCTCCATCTTACTTCCTCTGTCACTTGCGGCTGCGGGTGGAAAAAGATGGGAGCAACTTTGATCCGGTGGCAATTTGCCCTTAATGAAAAAGAAAATCAATTTCCTCTCCACTCCATGAATTCTTCCCTTATTACGTCTCTAACCCCAATTCAACTATAGGGAATGTAATTTACTAATTTCTTTCGTTTAGCCGAGGATGATTGGATATAAAAAATTTTTGGTTTTGTTTGGATTTTTTTATTTGGTTTGGTTAATTTTGAAAAAGTTGGTATGGTTAGTTGTTAGTGGGTATATTAGAATAATATTTAAAATAAAATGATTAAAGTTGATTTGATGTAAAGTATGAGAGAGAAGATTTGAAATGATGGTTAGTTAAAATTATGTGAGTGGATGAATAGTGAATTAAGGTAAGGTGGTATGTAAGAATGATTGATTGATATTATTTAATTATATTGATGATAATGGTATTGAGTTAAAGTTGAGTTAAAAAAGTGATTAAGTTAAAAATGTTTGGATTTTTTTGAAAAATTTTGTATCAAAGTAGATGAAGACTTTATGTATAAATGGAATAAATGGAATTCACATCTATTCATAATATTATGTAAATTATAAGTGAGGTTGGTAATTAGTAGATCAAAGTAGATGAAGACTTTATGTACAAATGTCTAAAAGTTTTGCCTATAAAAGGGCACTTCAAATGCAATGAATGATACACAAAATGAAAGAAACAAGTATAAGTTTCTACATTGAGTTTTTATCTTTTTGTTTTATAACACGTTATCAATACGAGCGGTCTACCCGGTCAGAAAGGTAATATGATATTATTAAATTTAATTATGAATTACTACCTATTAAGAAAATAATTTCAAGTTATAATAAAAAAATATAATATTATTACTTGTAATTAACACCCACAGAATGGTTTACCTAGTAGTGTGGAGTGAAATTTATAACTACTTATTATTATATCCACTGAAAGAATTATCGAGTAAGTAGGGTGAAATTTACAACTACTTATTCTTGTATCCACCAAAAGAATTATCGAATAGTGTGGAGTAACATTTTTACTTGTTTTGTTACTTGTATTTACTAAAAATGTTCACCTAGTGAATCGGAGAAATTCTAAAATAATATGCATGATTAGTTATAATTTTATAATCCTGAATGAAATAATTAATCAATATTATATCAATAATGAGTTTTTATAAGAAAAATAAAATAATAAAAAAAAATAAAAAATCCAACGGCTAATTAACGGCTCTTTTGCAACGGCTATTTATCATTCTATATATATAACACTTCACTTCATGTATTAACACTCATTCGAAAAATATTACAATATATTCTCCTCAAAAGAGAAAAAAAAATGTTTAATCTATTATTTATAATTACCATTATATTGGTTATTATATACTCTTTAGGAATTTTTACGATGTTGTATTATACTGCTGAGTTTATATATTATGTAGTAGGTTTTTTTCTAATGTGTTTCTTATTAGCCGTTCTGATCGCTTTGAATAATGAATGGTTGTACTTGTAATTTTCTTAAATCTAAGCATTAATGTTTTATTTTGTGAAGATCGAGTTTGAAGCATTGATATCTTAATAAATACAGTTTATGTGAAAGAAAATACATAGTGATTTTTTCACATTTGCAAGATATTAATTTTATAAGAGTTTTTATCTTGAAACTATTATAGATATAATTTATTTTTATTGATTATTAACTAGCTCAAGAATGAAAATGCGAATATTTATGGATTGATCCATGTGATATGAAATATATAATGCCAGAAGCACATGTACAAAAGTATAATTTATCACATAAGATATACGATGGAAAATTATTTTATATAATACTATATATTTTCTTGATTTAATTGTCCTTATTTATAAGTATATCTTGTTTGATATGTATCCTATTATTCTTAACATAAATTGTTAAGATTTGAAAATGGTAAGGTGTATGATATATCCAGTAGACATTATCCTCTAGATAAAGATTATTTTCTATGTTAGATGAAAAATACTATATCAATTGTTATACTCTTGAAAATTATAAAATAAAAATGTCCACATATATTATTTTGTACATGCATCTGAAAACGAATGAAGCGTATATGGATTAATATTAAAATGTGACTTGTATATGTTGTTTGGAATATATATGGTGAAGATATCAAAATATGCAATTATGACATGAATTTAGTTTATAGTTTGAAAATTATAGTTGCATATTTTGTTCCGTTGTTTTATACATTGAGTATGGATGTGATCCAAATTTATTGAGCCTAAATCAATTTGAATATCTTGAACTTTAATCTTATTGACTAATGAATCAAATTAATGGTATGCAACTTTTATAGTTATTTTCTAATTCTGTCATGAATTGCAGAGAAAATTTCCTGTTGAATTTTATGTCTATAGATTTGGTTATCCCTGAAGGATTGGTCTAGTAAATAATCTCGTTGAATTTTAGATTAATTCATGATCTTTTGATCTTGGACCAGCTCTGCATATTTAGTATATTCTTAATGAAGGCATGTAACCAGAATGTTACAACGATTGAATCAATATACAAGTTTTCTCAAATTATTTATATTTGCTTGTATAAGATGCATACCATTGAATATATTGTCTATAGCTACAATAATAAATTTATAGGTAGTGCCCGAAGCACATAATATTGTTGATAGCTACAATAAAAGACTCACTTCTAACGTTTGATTATAGTGCCTAAAGCATATGGTGTTCACTTAGAAATAAATTATTATAATTCGATGCCCAACTTATATATTTGATAATTAGCATGAGCATTGGATCATATTGGGCAATTATATTGCACTGCCGCATAAACAATGGATCCGCTGATTATTTTTCCCCAAATGATGCGTGGAAAATAGAATATTTTCCATCTGCGATTTATTATTATTATGCACAATCTTATATCACCACCAATTCGTACATTTATGGGCCTATATTACAAACTAGATATGATATAATATACTCCGTCGAATTTTTTTTAATATCTAGAGGCCATTATAGGGGATCAATTTATTATTTGGTACGTGTTTTGCATAATATATAAAGATGATTTCAAGGCATTAGGGGGAGATATGAGCATAAGTTTATTAATGCCGTAAAATATGTGAAATATTAATGTTTTCATTATTTGAAACCACGCAATAAAAATTGAACTTGAAGTTCATATTATATTTCTGTCAAACGAAATTTATAGTAATAATGGAGTGAACAATTTGTATATATATAAATGTACCACAAAGTAAGCAAATTCTCTAGAGAATTATTGACTCCTTAATGCTAGAAGCATAAGGTGATATAATATGATGTATGAAAGTCCGCGGAAAATTTATATTCAAGAATTAACACTCCCTTATAAGAAACTCTTAAAGAGTTAATCTAGTACATCTTGCACGTGCATCAAACCATTATAGTACTAGAAATACGGAACAACCAAAATTAAATGATTAAGGGAAATGATTATAAATATGGCTAGGAAATATGAAGTTGTACATATGGTTGAGAGAATAAAAATTAAATATCATAGTTGTCGACAACATAATTGCCTATATGATTTATTTACTATCTCAAATAATGATCTGGATCAAAATAATGAAAGTGCTAGAAGCGTTTAGGTTGATTGAGATAGAAAGGAAAATAAAGGCAGAGCTTACACTCGCTACATGATATATCCCAGAAGGATAATGAACATTTATATGAAACATGTGATATGGTGGTGTGATGTAAATATAACGAGATTATGCTCATCGGTTTACGCAGAGACCCAAATTTTTATAAAGAATTCTCTCATTAACAATTATTAAGCAAGTTAATATTTATGGCAACAACGTTACCATGACTATTGAGTCATATGTGAAAGTCCTGAATGGACTAGAGTACCCGAGATAAACGATAATTAAATAATAAATTATTTAATTATATAAAATTATTGGTAAAATGTGATACAACTAACAAATTTTTTCCTGAAGAAGTAAAGTATGAAATCAAGGTAGAAACTGGTGTATACAAAATGATCATCTCGGTCAAATAGATTATGTAGTGAACACTTTATAAAATATTAGCTCATGCTTATAGACGGAGTTAGAATAAAACTCTTGGTTAAATACCAAAGAGTATTATCTCGACTTGTAGATCGAGCATCTCCTAGAAGGAGTATATTTGACCCAACCAATCTACTTGAATCTCTTTTTAGAGATGTAAAATTATAACACCAATGAATATCAAATATTTAGATTTTAACAAAAATTTATAAAAATCCAAAGAAACTAATGAAGATATTATAGGACCTGAAGTTCCAATGGACTTGAAGTCCACAAATGACCTGAAGTTTATTTATTAAGCGCAATTGTTATAAAATTTTATCTCGCAAATTGCATCAGGCCTGATACTACATTTGTGATGAATTTGCTAGCAAGATTTATTATTTAAAGAGATATTGTGATAAATGTGAAAAATATCTATGTTTTCATGCATGTTGAGTTATCTTTGGATTTAGTATATTGGCGGATAAATATATCAGCTGTATAATTGATCCCTGAAGTATTGGGTCATCGATTGATTATATACCCTGAAGGTATGATACGCATGCGATACGATTCTGAATTTAAATATTGAATAAAATATTGTGTGTCAGAATCTGCACTTAAAATGCATTTATTTCTGCCGAAAGATGATGTGACAAATGTGTCATAATGAATTATTGTCATGTTTACTTATATCAATGATGATGGTTTATTCTTTGTGATATGATATGTTTTGTTCTCGATTGGTGAAAATTATTACTAGCTAAATATTTGTGAATCGATAGTTGATCAATCTGAGTATCAAAGGGGTATGATATATATGGGCCCACTACCCCTCCATGTGTGCTACTAGATATTATGGATCCACTAGATAGCCACATGAGTATGTGATTCGTAACCTGAAGTTACGAGATGTTTTGATTAATGAATATGCATATGACACATAACTTGAAGTTATGAGATGATTATGAAATAATGAAAAATAAGTGTCATATAAAAGTGATAAAGCTAGTAATATACACAATTGATATGATGAACTCTTGAAAGAAAAATGTGCACATTACAAGTGATATGAGTTCAAAGTTTTCCTATTATATATTAAAATCGAGAACAAAACGTAGAATATATGAACTCCCTTCAAGAAATTTCAATACTAAAAAATACAGATCAGAGATCTGTTAAGATGAAAGGGAGATTCAATGATTGAAATTTGTAAATGATACTGATGATGGTAAAATATATGAAATAATATGATGGTGGAATAATACGCTGGAAGCGTTGGCATTTGTATCGTACAAATTATGGAAATATTATTATATGTAATACGCATTGTACTCTTTTTCCCTTGCCTGAGGTTTTGTCCCATTGGGTTTTACTAGCAAGGTTTTTAATGAGGCAACATAGATGGCGTATTCACATGAATAGTGTACTCTTTTTCCTTAATTATGATTTTGTCCCACTGTGTTTTTCTAATAAGGTTTTATCGAGGCATATTCATGGTATAATGAGGACTACTGGATAATTGAGATAATTTATCATGATGATAAGAATACACTGAGGTAGTTGTACTCTTTTTCCTTCGATCAAGTTTTTTCCCACTGGGTTTTCTTGACAAGGTTTTAATGAGGCAGCACATGGATACTCCAATAAAAATGATATATTTGAGGGGGAGCAAAGTTGTGCTTCCACAATACTCAGGTTTTGTCTCACCGGATTTTTCTGAGGGAGAAATATTATGATCAGGTTTTATCCCATCGGGTTTTCTTGACATATTGAAGCACCAGTATCTTATGACCACATATAAACTTGAAGATGTTCAGATTGTATTTTGTTCAAATCAGTTAAAATATGCAACTAGTGTTTGCATCTGGCTCAGAAATATGACTCAAAAAATTCAACAAGCCAATAGATTATCTAACAATAGAGACCCGACGGTGATATTCGAAGAAAATGCAGAATAAACTCACATTGAATAGAGGTTATTCCAAGGGGGAGTGTTATGAATAAATTGAATTTATCTCTATTCATAATATTATGTAAATTATAGGTGAGGTTGGTAATTAGTAGATGAAGGTAGATGAAGACTTTATGTACAAATGTCTAAAAGTTTTGCCTATAAAAGGGCACCTCAAATGCAATGAATGATACACAAATGAAATAAAGAAGTATAAGTTTCTACATTGAGTTTTTATCTTTCTGTTTTATAACAGAGTCGAACTAAGCCAAAACCGAAAAACTGAGTTGGATCATGCAATTCGGTTCAATCTTTCTTATGTTTATCCTACATTGCGATGCGGTGGGATTACTGTTATTCGTAAGTTCAGTTTTCGATTTTATTTTGTTCAATGCGGTTTTGCACCGAAGTGTACAAAATTGAATAATCTATTAATATAAAATAACAGTAAATTTACTCAATAAAACTATTTTATTACATATATTACAATTAATTCGTTTCCTAAAAATACTCAAGTTAGATGCATTATCCTATTAATAATTAGTATTATTAACAAGTATTATTATCATAATTTTAATATAATTACATTTAACTAATATATATAGTGTATTATTTATAAGTAATGTATTATTAATAAGTACTAAACCAAAATTTATTTAAATTATCATAAATCAAAAGATTAATTCAATTCTATTTTTAAATATTTAAACATTTAAAATATTTCGATTATTAAAAAAATAAATAAAATATCTAAAAGATTAAAAAAAAATTTACAGTCCCGCGATCGTGTGGAAATATCGGCCGGTGGCCCGACGACTGGCTACCGGTCAAAAGTTTAAGGGCAAGTTGAACTAATCATCACCAGAAAATCACACATCGTGGTAGATACAAACTTTCACTTTATAATATATATAAATATAAATAGACATACAATTGAAGCCAAGAAGGCGTTGGCTTTTTTCTACATCAGTTACACTAATGCTATACCTCATATACTCGACTCAGAGGCTCAAAATTGGGCAAAATAGGGACAAAAATTCTAAAACTAAAAATAGTAATTGTTGTCTTTCTGGTTTACAGTGTCTTTACACAGCATCGATTGAACCTCCATTATGCTTCGTGGAGGTTCGAGGTCTTTCTCTTGCATGCCATTCCCGAGCACGTGCTGCATTTGAGAAGCAAATGTGTCGTCTAACACCTGAAAAGAAAAAATAAAAACAAAAAGAAAAAGAAATACACAAACATTAGTGATTGACCAAAAACAATGTGAGAATTATTTACACACACACACACACACACACACACACACAAAAAAAAATAT